TGGTACATGCTGAATCCTAACATATTCTGATTAATACAGTAGGAGCTGATTCTAACTGATCATGTCGACACTGTTGATCATGTCTTTAAGGTATGTTAGTGTGGCTAGGACCGCTAGGGTGGTCACAAGGAGAGAACAAGAATAAACAAAACCAGCAAATAAAGAGAGAGAAGAAGATTAATAGTGACACAGTGTTGGATACAAGAGATGTATAAAGATGGAGTGAGAGAGAGAGAGAGAGGAAGTGAGAGTGAGAGTGATAGAAAAGTTGGAGATATAAGCAGCAGCAGAAAAGGAATGAGAGAGGGTGACTATGCAGGTGTCAACAGGGCAGTAATTGAATAAAAGAGAGAGAAGAGAGAGCGTGTGTGTTTTTGTTATACCTTTTATGTTTTATCTTTGCTGCCAATCCAAAATCAGCTACAACACAGTTTAACGAGCCGTCGTCACTCTTTTGTATCAAGCAATTCTAGAAAAAATATACACATACATTACTTTAAAATAATAAAGAAGAGATGTACATGCACATGTACACATGTACATGTTAATCAAAGTGAAATACATGTAGGAGAAAGATACATAGAATACTGTATAAAACTAGTGCATAGCTAGACACTTTTGTGACCTGAAATCTTTGCTTATATTTTTAAAATTTTGAGATTAATCCTTGCCCTTCTATTAAGCCATGGCAGACCAAAGTGCAGTAGCAAAAATAAAAACTCCAAAGACATTTTACTAACTATTGTGTACAACGTATATATTCACTAAAATGTAGAACTACAACTGTGCAAGACCAGTCAATATACAAATGGCAATAATGAGCAGGTGCTAACTAGCGATATGGCTGGTACGTGAAAAGACTGGGAGTGTCAGGAGAGGTAAAGGCGAAAACAGTACACAGGCCAGACAAACAAAGAGTGACGATAATAACAACCTATTACTGATAGTAAAAAAAGGAGCGAAGACTTTAGACACTGCCCAGTACAAGGAGATAAGCTCTTCGACACTCCTTGTTATTCATGGCCACTCAACCATCAAATAACCAATTGAGAATCACAACTTAAAGTACACATGAAAGTTGTTTTTTATTATTGCAGCTGCAACTCCTACTGCTTAGCAACAGGAGGTAGAGAGAGAGAAGGTCATAACTTAAATACTAACAAGATGATCAGTAACAACTTAAGGAGACAAAACAAGAGAGGGAGAGAGAGAGAGGGAGAGAG